TTTAAGACTTTTGACTCAGCACTTAAAAATCTATCAACAACAGAATAGTCTACTACATGAGTTCCCCATTTAGGATTTCACTTGCAAGATGTTCAAGTAAAAAAAAAAAAAAAAAAAACATATATATATATATATATGAATGCTCTCTCTGTGTGTGTGTGTATATATATATATATATATATATATATTTTTTTTTTTTTTGAAACCACTCAATTATTTTGCTTGCTTGTTTGGTGTGCTCTACAGAAGAATACTGACTTTGTCCTTTTGGTTAGTTTTCCACTTGCTAAGACTCCTTTCTCACCCACCAGGACACTCACCTCTTCTAAAAGGAATCAAGCTTTTGCAGCTCACTGATCCTCAAAGTACCTACTTGGCCTTAACCTTTGATTTGGTGTTGTTCAGGTAATCCATGGTGGTTCTGCTCCTGATACCTTCTTTCTGTGAACTCTTCTGAGAGTTTCCCAGTCATTTTGGCAAACTTAAGAGCAAGTTTGATGTTGCATGCTACAAATGATTTTGTGATATAGATAAAAATCTCTTTGAAATTTGTCAGGAAAGAGTTAAATCTTCTGAAGTAGGATATAATTTTGCAGTTTTACATAGAAAAATGGTTCGTTTTTTTTTTCTTTTCCCAAGAAATACTGCAGATGCCAAAAGTGGGGATATGAATCCACTACAGATTTCGTATCCCTGGGAAGAGTAAATCAGGCTACGACGACATGCCCTTCAGGTAGGACATGACATACATTCCACACACCTGCGCAAACCCTTTATTAAAGCAACAATCAAGATACAAGATAGATCTTTTTTTTTTTTTGCTACAGTAATGACAACTTATATTAGTCATTTGTTTACATCCTTAATATATTTTTAAAAGTGAACATTTTACAGTTCACAAAATCATCAGATTGACATTTCCGCCCGCATTTTTCATCTTATTTTCCAATTTAACAAAGGACATTCAGAACTACTGAAATACAGCAACCCAAACATAGGTGAAAGTGTCTTCTTTGATCATAACATTATTAGCTATTACATGGTGCTGGAAAGTTACATTGGGAGGCTTTTATCACTGGTCAAATGAAAATAATTTATGCCAGAATAGTCTTAGAACTACTTCTATTTTTACATTTCCTTTAATAGCTTTCATTTTGATTGTAAGATTCTTAGCATTAGCCCCTTAATAAATTCCACCTCTTAAAAAACAGTCATTTAAAGAGTATCATCATCCTCACATATTTTCTTGTATAACAGGTAAACACTGAGTTCTTTGGGAAATATAATAAGCAATTCTGTTCTATTTGATTATTTTCCCCCACAATTGATCTGTTTAATCCAAACCTGCTCATCACTGAACATAATTATAAAAATGTCATTAGGAAGATTAACTTTGCTATCTATGTTGAGGGTTTCTTTTTTTAATGAATAGGTGAATGTAGAAGTGACCAATATCTTGAAGATAACAGGTGTTCAAAATATATGGGTGAATATACAATGAGGTTTGGTAGATATTTAGTTAGCTTAAAAAGCAAGACTAGAAATAGGAATTAATTTGGGGAATGCAAAAGGAATAGGTGAAAATAGGTAAAGGATAGTAGCTGAATTGTGCTGAGAAAAAAAAAAACAGTATCTGAAATATAATGTAATGCTCCATTTCTTACCAATTGAAAACACTGAAAGGAAATCTCCAGTTAACAGAAGCAGAGGGATTGCTATTTACGTTTTAGCACTGATACACCATATTTTAAATGCTGAAAGGTGACTGATTTGCCTTCCTAAAATATTTCTTCCAGCAGTGGGGGCTGGTATTTCTATAGTCAAGGTGGTTTGTGTTGGCTGCATTGCATTGGTCAGTGTCCCTGTTCAAAACATGCAGGTGTTCTCTGTGCCTGACATTTTCTTCACATGCTACAGAGCTGAGCAGATCCTAGATCACTGGTGAATAACAACCCAAGCATTAGATTTAAAACATGCTATCTATTAAAACAATTTACATAGCCATGATCCAATGCACTCAGTCTACCTGTCAAGTTGTTTTTTTGTAATCTCACATGTGCCCTTCCAAAGGAAGTTGAAACACTCAGACTTGTGCAATTGAAAATGAGACAAACAATTAAAAAGACGAGGGAAGGGAATCCCAGAATCCATTGTGTAGGATGTTGGGCCTTTCAGCCTTAGTTGTAGAAAGGCTTACAAGCATCCCCAACGAGATGGATATAATGACATGGCACGACAATGTGGTGGGTGAGAACACTCAGGCAATTTTAGAATGATTCCTTTATGTTATATATTACATACATCACATTTGGTTCCTAGAGATTTTAGTCAAGTATAAGTATTTCTTTTTGTCAAGTATGATGTACAAAAAGATGAGAATAGCAGTAGATGTGCCCTAAATATATGAAAATATAATATATAAAAGAAAACCATTATAAATTACATAGATTTCCCATATAAAATTCTGTTTTGTTCCCATTTAGAATAAATACCATCCAAGTTTATAGATCATCTAAGTGAATTAAGTATGCACACATATGTGAATCATTTTTAGAAGTTCAAGAAAAAAATTGCTAGAGATATGACCAAGAGGACTCAGAAACCAGAATTTGTTTGGTTTTAAGAATGACTACATAAGACCCAGAGGACATGGCTTGGGATTTAGCATTGGAAATTTTAAAACTGCTCAAATAAGTCCAGTGTATGAGTGTGTGTCTGTACAATAATTCAGCCACACTTCTAAGAATTCCTAAGAAGCTTGACAGTTCACTTTATTTTTGAAAAGTCATGAGGTCTACATTTCATATTCTAGCATAAGGGCCTCTCTCATTTCATGAATGTTGTAGGATGGAGAGGAACCGTGTAGGATTTCTGGAAGGAGAAATTTTCATTATCAGCCAAGCTCCCTGTAAGTTGGATGTTTTATCAAGAGCATTTTGATGCCTTAAAGAAGGAGTTTTGAAAATCTATATCATTCCTGCCCCACCAGTCCAAAGAAGAGAGACCAGACCATTCGAGAAACATTCTTTGGTCACACATTTCAGCTCTTGTTTCATAAAAAAAGCTGCCCAGTTTATTATCCCTAATAAATATCTATATGGAATGGATGCCTTCTGTGGTTTTCTTGTGGAAATCAGCATGGGGTTTGGTGGAATGAGAACTGGATAGAATGGGGACAAGTTCACCTGACATCACAGATGAGTTTCCTAGTCTCTGTTGCTATTTTGGGCTAATAATTTGAAGGTAAGAGTTTGTTAATCTCCACAACAGTTGGAAACCTTTATATTCTAAGAGGGGGAGACAAAAAACTTACCTGCAAATTAAAAACAAAACCATAACCCAGGGATGGGAATAGGAAAGAGAGTGGAATGAATCCGACATAACTTTCCTATGTCCACATATAAATACACCAGTAGTGAAACTCCACATCATGTACAACCAAAGAATAGGATCCTAATTAGAATAAATTATACCCCACGTATGTATGTCAAAATATACTCTACTGTCTTTGTACGTCTAAAAAGAAAAAAATTTTAAAAATCAGCAAAACAAAACAAAACAAAAAAACAAGAACAAAAACCCAACCATAATCCAGAGAGCCCAAACAGGAATGATGGTCTTTTGATTGCTCACTACTAATTTCTTTAGGTGAACCCCCACTCCCACCGCAAGATGCTTCCAACTAGATGATCTTTAAAGGGATGTCTGGTCAAACCGTGCCTTGCCAGATCACCTTCCATATCAGTTACCTATAAATAAACCCATCATCCAGACCTCTCCTAAAGCCATGCCCACTGACCTCAGTTACAGAGCCAGACACCTTTAAGGTGAAGTATGGATCACAGGAGCATCCAGTCTCGTGTACCCATTTTTGCTCCCATTTGTTCTTTTCTTGTGCAATGGGGATTACTGAGGATTGAAAACATTTCCATAAAACTCTGTTTGAACTTAGGGATGTAATGGACCACTGAATACTGCCTGCATGTTTTACAGATGAAAAAAGATTAAACCCAGGAAGAAGGGACCTTTCCAAGATCACTTCCCCAGATGGTCAGAGTGAAGACTATGTGGGTCTGCTCTCTCACTGTGGCCCATTTAACCTCTGACTTCACAGCCCCAGATGCTCATCACACTTGATACGGCCATGACTCACTCCTTTGCTTTACATGAAGATGTAGTAAAATACCACTCATCCTAAGACTGAATCTAAATTATAGAAGTGGTCCTAATGATTTTTTGGGGGGTAGGGTGGGGGAGGAGAGATTCCACAATTTGTTTAAAATGCTATGGTTTTTCAAAAACTAATTCTCTTTATTTAAGTAATGCAGCATAAAAATATTTGGAGAACCCAGGGATGAAAGCAAAAAATCTTTAGAGTAATTGTGAAAAAGACTGAAGATGTTAATATTGGTCTCTGAGAGAGTGGTGGTGTTCAGAGCTCATCTAGTCTGCCCCCTCTTACAGACAGGGAGAGTGAGGCCCAGACTTGCCCCATGCCAGGCAGCCAGTTATTGGCACAGTCAGGGAAATAATAAGCCTCTGGATGACTAGTTTTATCTTCTTTCCATAACATCACACTGCCGTGTGGGATTAATAATTCAATAATTTTGGCATAAAACTTGATGGCATGGTTCTCTATGCCATCACCCTAGTCATTCACACTCCCTTTCAAGAACCAGCAAGTCAGTAGGTCGTTTACACAAATGGACCTGGTTATGCACTTCATAGATCCTTGTATTTGTTGCCCTAAGTCAAGTGTTTTAGTTGACTGACAGTGCATGGTCCTGCAAACCCTTCTGAGATGCCAAGACCCTATGACCTACAGGAATTCATGAAATGCCTGTCTTTGGAAGCGATAAATTTTCCAGGTAAAGAACCAGTCTTGGTTTGGAGGATGATGTTACTTCAGTGTAAATAGTTTTCATGAGCAGAGTGGGTATATTTAACCTTTTACAATCTCCCTCCACACCTCGGTTGAGTTCCCCAAAAGGCTCTCAGAATTGGACAGGTAAACACATTTTTTATTTGACTATTAAAGTGCGATTCTGGGGCAAAGTATTTCTCAGTTTCATTAGAGCAGCTTCATTGGAAACAAACAAACAAAAGCAAAGTATGAAAACAGACCTGGGGAATGAAAAAAAAAATGATCCTAGCAACTACTTTGGAACATTACAAATGACTTGTAGATATCAGCCCTGGAATGGGTGACTGATACCAAAGCCTCTGAGGTAAACCTTTCCGGAGAAAAATAAAAATGAAGGTGATAAAGAGGACTCCATCAGAAAGAGCAATTAGTATTAATATAATATCAACTACTCTGTTATAAAGGAACAGTGAACATAAATAAAACTGAGAAGAAAGTGCAACAAACCCATGTACGTGCGTTTGCTATTGTAGCAGACCTATAATTTTTAAAAAGAAAAGCAATGCTGATGCATTGGACAGAGCTCTTGAACTCAGGAATATCTTAACAGTAGTGTACTCTTTGCCAGAAGGGCATCACCAATTAAGGGGTTTGGCAGAAAATGGCCAATTCTAAAATTCATATCACAAGGACGGATACCTTCTGTGTGACACTATAAATTCTGCACCCTGATCTTTGTCGCATCCTTTCTACGGAGGAGGTTCCAGTCACGTAACCTGTGCGCAGCTGTTTCCCCTTTTCCAATGGTCTCACTCCTACCTACAGGGATGAGTCTCCTGGTAAGGCTTAGCGGCAAGTGCTTACTACATCTGTGTTACAAGGAGCAGCCCCTGATTTTCTCGATATGCATAGCTTTTCGGAGTTGCTATTAGACATGGCTTTCATAAATAATGCAGGTGTTTTTGTCATGTGTCACTGCTGGCTCTGTTACTTCCAGGTGAGCTGGTGGCAGGTCTCGGTCTGACACCTCCACGGGTGTCGGCTCTTCGGATGTGAGCTCGGTGGATGTTATATCTGTAGAAGGCTCTGCAGTCTCCGGGGAACGCTCGGCTGAGGGTTCTGTCTCCTCTTCATCTCTGACCTCAAACTGCACCCCCTCTTGGTCGTCCACGTGATCCTTTTTGGACTGGGGGTGAACAGACACCTTGATGGCAATCTGCTGAGGTTGTTCGTGCAGCGAGGAGGCGTCCGAGTCAGCAGTGGGAGAGTCACTCCGCTTCAGAGAGTTGGGGATCGTGTACACCTCATCCCTGTCGGTGGCCTCCTGGCCTTCTGGTGTGTGCCTTACAAAATTCTGTCCCTGCTCCTCCAGCCCAACCACTTCCATGATTTCCTCCATGATGGTCCTGCAGTTCATGATGAGAGGAGGCAGAGGCACACTCCTGGCGAGCTCTTCGATGTAACGGGCGAACTCCATGGTTTTGAACTGGGTGACTTTGGCAAGCTCTAGGGTTTTGGCTGAGGTGATGATGGGGATCCGCTTGGCGATCTCAAATGCCTTCTGCAGCTTCTCTGCACCTTCTGTCCTAAAGAACTCGTTGATGGCTTTCTCCGTCTTCTTCAGGTGGCTGCTCATCATGCACAGGCGGGTGATGTTGAGGATCATGACGATGGTGAAGGCCACGAGGCAGACAACCATGTAGTAGACGCCCATGTCTCCAGAGGTAAAGATGACTCTCAGGGTCACCGTGTTGTTCACAGTGCCGTAGATGTTAGAAGCCACACATGTGTATTTTCCGCGGTCTGAGAAGGACACCTTGGTGATGTTCAGGAGGCCACCACTGAGCATCTGCCACTTTCCTGTCAGGACAGAAGAGATTATAACCAAGGACATAGAGTCCCCGTTACTACAGACATACACTGGATTTCCAAAAACATCTCGTAACAGTAACAAGGAACACTGACTTAATGTGCTCACCATGTGCCAGTGACACGTATTAATTCGTTTCATCTCTATACCCGCTCAGTGAGGCGATGCTAATACTGGCCCCACTTTATAGGATAAAGAAAACAAGGCCCCCATTAAACAGTCTTCCCTACATGTTTGGAAGTAGTAAAAACTAGAAGAGCGAACGTGTATTCAATGAAGAGGCTGTATTCTTTTTTCTTGTTTCTTTTTTTGTGGTGCTTGGGATTGAACTCAAGGCCCCACGCATTGCCAGGCAAGGGCTCTAGTCACAAGGCTGTATTCTTCACTACCACACAATATGGTACAACTCCACATCCTAGTGGAAAATGAGAGGAACGATCTGGAAAACATGGCTCTTATAAAAGAACTCCTTAACCGTAGCATCTGATTTTCTGGACTGCCTGTGAGCATGACTACTGAATACATATTCCCTGAGGATTTTAATGCCTCTCAGAATATAAAGCATTTAAGATTCAATATCGAATCGGGAGTAAATCAATTATAATTGTTTACTTGGGTTTCTCATATTTGAGATTGATCTTATCCTTCTACAATCTCAGTTAACTGGAACACAATTTATGTCATTAATTTTGACAATTTGCAATGAATACTCTAGACGACTTCAAGTTACAGGCTGATAATGTGACGGTTCAGAGGCTGGGTATGAATTCCTATCGGTCTGCTTTTAGCCTTGCAAATAAATTAGGCCCATGACAATGAAAATCAGCCTGACATGAAAGAATGCACTTTGAAAAATGCAATTCTTCCATCCCCTCCCTGGAAAGGTCTTGTGCTGCCTTGGGAGTGAGGTTCTGAATCCAGCGACGTTCTACATTCATTCTTAGTTTACCTGAAGCTCAGGAGACCCTGGGAAACACGACACTAGGTTTACTTCCAGGGTCTTGGGGCTGAGTGAGAGATGAAATCCATCTACCTCCCTGGGCTGTCCAATAGAGCAAGGAGTCTCCACACCAGGCCTCTTGGGAGTTCTAAGGAGCAGGCACATATTTCTTGATAAGAGCACTGTAATTCCCTGAGCCAACCAGAGAAACCTCTACTGAGAGTCGTGACAATTTAACACACAGCTTTTAAAAAAGTATCTACTCTGCATTTTATTTTACTTCTTTCTTTCCCTTACGGCAATGACTTTTACTTCTAATTAAAAGCTTCTTGCTTCCCCAAATCAGCACGCTTAAAAACAAACAAACAAAACCCAAAAAAACTCTCAAGCACGTAAGTGACCAGGGTCTCACACAACTGTGGAATGCAGCAACAGAAGGCCTGTTCTATTCCAATGTCCTCTATGCCAAGGAACATTCCTGAAGAGGCTCAAAGGGGCAGCGAGGGACCTTCCTGTAGCTACTTGTGCTACTGGCTCACTGGCTGTGGTGAACCTGGCAGGAGGCCTCTTGGTAGATGTTGACACATTACTCTGCCTTCTGAAAGGACATCAGTGAAGAGTGGCTCCTGGTGTCCCCCTCAGTCACATCTTTCCAACAATTCAGCCAGTGTACTGCCCCCAGGAATAGACAACACTGGTTTGGGAAGGCTACACATACCCAGTATTTAGTCTGTGACATTCTCTCTCATTCATGGGTGAGCTTTCCACAGCTCTTCTTCCCTGAGCATGAATTTTGATTCTTCAGTTGCAGATTAATTCAAATATACATGACTTGGGCCAGGGAAATTACTATTGTCTTATTTTATATTTGCACGTTTTATAAAGTAGACCATGGCAAGAATGGGAAACACACATACACTGGTTGATGGAAAGCTTATTCTATATGGAAGGAACTGGATTCCAGAGATTTACAGACTAGACTTGTGGGAATTTCTCATATTTATCTTCCTCCTTTTGTTGGGAAATAAAGTAGGAAATAGGGTGCAGGACATTGAGAAGGTGCAGTTACTTCTGTGGGGAATGACTAGGATCAATTTGCTTATCTCTTCCTTATCCCCAAACCGTTTTATGGAGAAACCCTGTAAACACAAGGACACAGTGGTGTATTCTTGGGCGAAAAGAAGAAAAGCAGAAGAGAACACTAAATAAAAGAAGCATCTGGTAGAAACATAAAAGTTTTTTTCCCTATATTTGAATAACAGTTTTAATGGTAATTTTATCTAATTGTTAGAGAAAAAGAAAACACAAAAATACATACTGGTTACAAGGTATGGATGTTTTTCTCTACTGAATATTTAAAAATGTTTCTGAACTTGACCTCCATAGTTCTTTTCCAAGATGATTTTAATTGTCTGTTGAGCTGTATCTAACCTGGAACCAAGCAGTTGAACTCAAACAACTTGTAGATACTTCAAAAGTTTGTAGTTACAGTGTTAAAAAGGACATAGTTTGGAATCAAACTCAGTCTAACTAGCCAATACCAGTGGTCCATTCTGGGAAGAGTGTGAGATGTTTGGCAGATGAAGAATGACTTGGGGAGCATATTCTGATTCTTAGCCCAGGACTGTGGATCCCTAGAACAACACCTCTTAGATACTATATCCCACACTTACTCTCTCTTGTTCTTAAAGTCTGAAGACCAGCCATGCATCTTTAACTTCACTATAAGCCATGACAAATATGAATTCACATACTATGATCCTACAACAGTTATTATCAAAACCCTAGTCAAATGGCTGAAATCACAGTTCTCTGCCAGCAATTTCTTGTTCTAATGTAGGACAAAGGCATTGAAACAACTCTTTTCAGTATTCAGTCCTTTACTAGATTCCTCTAGAACACACACACACACACACACACACACTCTCTCTCTCTCTCTCTCTCTCTCTCTCTCTTATTTGATGGATTAAGGTATTATGAATGTCATTTAGGTTTCTATTCATGTGAGATATTGTGAAATGAGTATGTGACCTGGATTACAGATTCTATTCCAGACCATCAAACAAGTCTAAAGTTTTCAGAAGGCAAAACACGTACAGCACGTGCGCACACAAGCACACACACACACACATACACATGCACATCCAAGGACTATGTCAGAAAAACCAGAGTTCTGACCTTCTAACCTCAAAGGTTATACATGTCTGTCTCTCCATGCTGATACATACATTCATTCCCTTCCAGAAATTAAGGCTCTACATACTTTCTCTCAGCCTCAGCTTCCTCTTGGATTAGTGAAAACGAATCTGCATGCTCTACTACTGCATAGAGCTCTGAAAACTTGACTAGTAAGATATCCCACATTCTGTTCTGGGTCTTCTCCCACCAGGTTGGGGCAGACTAAGAAGAATCTCCACACTGTACCTGCCCAGCCAGGAACATCTCGAGCACATGCATCTCAGTCTAAAAGTACCGTGCCATGAGACTCATTCTGGAAGCTCAGTCTAAAAGTATCTTGCCATGAGACTCGTTCTGGAAGGGTTCTGGCTTTGGCTGCCAGACATTAAAAGATAAAGATTTTATCTTTATATATATATATATATATATATAATAAATACACACACACACATATATATATTATAAATAAATAAATACACACACACACACACACAC